GCTAACAGAATCAGTGTTATATTGCAGAGCAAATCCCTGTAGGTGGGAGGGGGGTGGTGCCATGAACCTGCACCATTCCTGCCATCATACCCAAAATTATGGCGCCACAAACACAGTGAAAGGGCTTCCATAGAGATCAACTGATGGGTGTGTGGAGGAATCGGATCATTTGCATCTCTTCTGGTAAATGGGTCTCACTGTCTCCTAATCCATCTCCTATGGAATTATTTCTCTCCCATCTTAAGTTAGACAAGTTTTTCATATGATTGCTAGACAACAAATGGTGATCAGATGTTTTATGGATTTTTATAACAAACGTCTCCATAAAGAATTTTCAGACAACCATAAATTGTGTTACTGGATGGCTCCCAAGACTAATTATTGGATAGAGAGCCTTTCACCTGTAGGAAATCATAGTGAATCTGATCCAGGTCAGTAAGTTATCAGTGATCTTTGACTGTATAATACGAGTTTAGTGGGGTTAGTTTAGTCTCAACTATGCAAGTGTGCAGGTCAACAAAAACACAGTCACATTTGGCATCCTTGTTGTTAGTCTCAGAGAGGACAGGAGAACTTGTGGCACCTTTGAGACTAACAAATTTACTTGAGCATAAGCTTTTGTGAGCTACAGCTCACTTCATCGGATGCATTCAGTGGAAAAATCAGTGGGAAGATTTATATACATAGAGAACATGAAACAGTGGGTGTTACCATACACACTGTAACCAGAGTGATCACTTAAGGTGAGCTATTACCAGCAGGACACAAATCAGACGTCAAGAATTATAACATTCAAAAACCAGTTGGAGAACACTTCAATCTCTCTGGTCACTCGATTACAGACCTAAAAGTGGCAATACTTCAACAAAAAAACTTCAAAAACAGACTCCAAGGAGAGACTGCTGAATTGGAATTAATTTGCAAACTGGATACAATTAACTTAGGCTTGAATAGAGACTGGGAGTGGATGGCTCATTACACAAAGTAAAACTATTTCCCCATATTTATCTCCTCCCCCCACTGTTCCTCAGACATTCTTGTCAACTGCTGGAAATGGAACCACTACAAAAGTTTCCGACTCCCCTCCCCATCCCCCACTCTCCTGCTGGTAATAACTCACCTTAAGTGATCACTCTGGTTACAGTGTGTATGGTAACACCCATTGTTTCATGTTCTCTATGTATATAAATCTCCCCACTGTATTTTCCACTGAATGCATCCGATGAAGTGAGCTGTAGCTCACGAAAGCTTATGCTCAAATAAATTGGTTAGTCTCAAAGGTGCCACAAGTCCTCCTTTTCTTTTTGCGAATACAGGCTAACATGGCTACTACTCTGAAACCTGTCAGAGAGGACAAGGACTGAGGCCCAGACCCTCAAAAGATATTTAAGTGCCTCACAGCCATTGAAATCAATGGAAGTTGGGTACCTCTGAGTACTTTTTAGATTCTGGACCAGAATGCCTGATCTAAAGCCCATCCATGTTAGTGGAAAGACTCCCATTGACTTCAATGGGCTTTGGATCAGCACCTAAATGGATCTAGAAGCTGAATTACCCTGTCAGCCTTAGAAGGCCTCTATATCAGGGCTGAGGCATGCTGTTGGGTAGTATGGGGAAGCTTGAACAGCTGTTAACTACGCCGTACCCACTCTGTGAATAAACAGAGCACTTCATATTTGAGGGCTGTCACAGCTTTCAGGAGGATTTAATTCACTCAAAAGAGAGAAATCTCATGATGCTCACCTGGTCATCTTCTCAAGAAAGTAGGGTTGTCAAGTGATTAAAAAAATTTATCATGATTAATAGCGTGATTAAAAAACTAATCATGATTAATTGCGGTCATAAACATAGAGATAAAGGTCGTATAAAATCCCTCCGGGACAGCTGTACTGAATCATTTTACCTGTAAGGTGTTAAGAAGCTCAAATAACCTAGCTGGCACCTGACCAGAAAGACCAATGAGGAAAGAAGACACTTTCAAATCGGGGGGGAGGGGGGGATGATTTTTGTGTGGCTCTCTTTGTTTGTTCCCTCTCTGGATGGGGAGAGAAGCCAAACAGGGACAACATCTCCTAAAAATATACCTGGAATAATCCATCTAAGAATTACAAAAATTGTAAGTGAGGCAAGGAAATGCATCAGGTTATCTTTTGTTTTAGCTTGTGAATTTTCCCTATGCTAAGAGGTAGTTTTATTCCTGTTTTTGTAACTGTGAAGCTGAGTCCAGAGGGGAGTCCTCTGTGTTTTAAATCTTTTTATTACCCTGTAAAGTTACCTTCCATCCTGATTTTGCAGGTGTGATTCTTTTACTTTATTATAAAGTTCTTCTTTTAAAAAGGAAAGGAGTACTTGTGGCACCTTAGAGACTAACCAATTTATTTGAGCATCCGACGAAGTGAGCTGTAGCTCATGAAAGCTTATGCTCAGATAAATTGGTTCGTCTCTAAGGTGCCACAAGTACTCCTTTTCTTTTTGTGAATACAGACTAACACGGCAGCTAGTCTGAAATTTATCATGAAAGTTGAACTTACAAATGCAGTATTATGTACAAAAAAACAACTGCATTCAAAAACAAAACAATGTGAAACTTTAGAGCCCATAAGTCCACTCAGTCCTACTTCTTGTTCAGCCAATTGCTCAGACAAACAAACTTGTTTTGCATTTACAGGAGATAATGCTGCCTGCTTCTTGTTCACAATGTCACCTGAAAGTGAGAACAGGTGTTCTCATGGCACTATTGTAGCTGGCATCACAAGGTATTTACATGCCAGATGCGTTAAAAATTCATATGTCCCTTCATGCTTCAACCACCATTCCAGAAGACATGCGTCAATGCTGACGACGAGTTCTGCTTGATAACAATCCAATACTGTGCGGACTGACACATATTCATTTTCATCATTTGAGTCAGATGCCACCAGCAGAAAGCTGATTTTCTTTTTGGTGATTTGGGTTCTGTTGTTTCCGCATCAGAGTGTTGCTCTTTTAAGACTTCTGAAAGCATGCTCCACACCTCATCCCGCTCAGATTTTGGATGGCACTTCAAATTCTTAAACCTTGGGTCGAGTGCCGTAGCTATCTTTAGAAATCTCACATTGGTACCTTCTTTGCATTTTGTCAAATCTGCAGCGAAAGTGTTCTTTAAAATGAACATGTGCTGAGTCATCATCCAAGACTACTATAACATGAAATATATGGCAGAATGCAGGTAAAATAGAGCCAGAGACATACAATTTTCCCCCAAGGCGTTCAGTCACAAATTTAATTAACACTTTTTTTTTTAAAATGAGCATCATCAGCATGGAAGCATGTCCTCTGGAATGGTGGCCAAAGGATGAAGGGGCATATAAATCTTTAGCATACGTGGCACGTAAATACCTTGCAACACTGGCTACAAAAGTGCCATGTGAAGGCTTGTTCTCACTTTCTGGTGACATTGTAAATAAGAAGCGGGTAGCATTATCTCCCATAAATGTAAACAAACTTGTTTGCCTTAGCAATTGGCTGAACAAGGAGGAGGACTGAGTGGACTTGTAGGCTCTAAAGTTTTGCATTGTTTGGTTTTTGAGTGCAGTTATGTAACAAAAACCAAAATCTACATTTGTAAGTTGCACCTTCACAATAAAGAGATTGCACTACAGTATTATATGAGGTGAACTGAAAAATACTGTTTCTTTTGTTTATCATTTTTACAGTGCAAATATTTGTAATAAAAATGATAAATAACGTGAGCAGTGTACACTTTGTATTCAGTGTTGTAATTGAAATCAATATATTTAAATATGTAGAAAAACATCCAAAAATATTCAGTAAATTTCAATTGGTATTGTATTGTTTAACAATACAACCAAAACTTCGATTAAGTGTTTCATTTTTTTAATCGTGATTAACTAAAAAAAAAATGAATCGCGTGAGTTAACTGCGATTAATTGACAGCCCTACAAGAAATGAAATCTTCACAAAACAAACAGTAGTGTAGATTTCATTTCCACTAAAAAGATGACAGAAGAGATGGGGTGAGGCAGGAATTATTTGGTAAATAAGAAAGCAAGCACATATTAAACTGCAGGAAACAACACTGTTTGCATTTCCACTTGATTTCCAAGTTTCTGGCAGGGAATTATATAATATTTATTCTGTATCATTAACAAAAGTAGCAAGAGACCAGCAGACCAGATGTCCATAATTACCACAAAAAGAAAAGGAGTACTTGTGGCACCTTAGAGACTAACCAATTTATTTGAGCACGAAAGCTTATGCTCAAATAAATTGGTTAGTCTCTAAAGGTGCCACAAGTACTCCTTTTCTTTTTGCAAATACAGACTAACACGGCTATAATTACCACAGCATTTGTTACCTGACAACCATCTAGATGCCAATATTACAGAGCACTCGTGTGGGAGGTAACAACTGTAGCAGAGCAATAAAAAATGAAAAGTCGAGAAGAGCCGATAATGACCGAACAGGGCCCCCGAGTCCTCATTATGCACATGCAGAGAGACACACCCGCAGGTCATTAATCTCCTGGATCCACAGGTAAAACCCGCTGAGAAGCTCCGAAGACTCACGGACGCTCAGTGGAAGGGGCTTCCCCGCCTGCACCCTCCTTCGCTGGGGTTCGGGGAGCGCCGCCTCCCCGCTCCGTTAGCTCCTTTCAGCCCCCCAGACGCCCCTCCCTTGGGGCCTTGCCCTGTCGCCCCGCCCGGGCCCCCACCCCGCTGCAGCCGCCCCACGAGGCCGGCCAGCCTCCCTCAGCGGTCGTGCCCGGCCTACCCGTCCCACCGCGTCTCTGCCCCGGCAGGCTGCGCAGACGTGCCACAGAAAGCGTCCCCAGCTAGCAACAGTTGTTATGCAGGAGGCGGGGTTTCAACAGCTCTCGGCCGCTGATTGGGTGGCTCTTGGGCCTTTCCCCAGAGGCGGAGCGGCGGGGGCCTAAATCCCTGCATCGGGGGCCGAGTGCGCAGGCGTATTGGGCTGCCTTACTGCTGCCTGATTAGAAACTGTCGCCCGCTCTTCATGCTCGCTACAGAACCCGGGGGCAGTTGGCGCTCCCGCAATCCAGGAAGGACCCGCGTTTATCACTCAAGCCTCGTAGGCAGCGCTTTGGGCTGGTTTCCGAGTTTGTTCCACAGGCATTCGGCGTAGCGCTCTACAAAACTGCCTCCCGCCGCCGGGGCCCGACAGGCTGGGGAAGCCACGGGGGGAGGAGAGGAGAGGAGAGGAGAGGAAGGTCCTGTCTCGGAGCGTGTCGCGGCCGGCCGGGTGCCCGCGGGGGAGCAGCGCGGAGAGCCCGGCGCCATGTATTATAAATTCAGCGGCTTCAGCCAGAGGCTGGTCGGGGCGGTGGCGGCCGCCGCCTATGCCCCCCAGGTGAGCGCGTGGCCGGCGCCACACGGTCTCTGACCTTCACCGTCCTCCCCGCGCCGCTCCCGGCGGGGCTTGGAGCGGGACAGTCCGCTGGGCGCGGCACGCCGGGTCGGCCGCAGGCCAGCGGGGCGCGGTGACCTTCACGCGACGGGCGGGCTCTGGGCTGCCGTCGTGGGGAAGGAAGCCTCCGCGTGGCTTGTGGGCCGGCTGCCTCGCGCCCGCGGGGTGACCTTCCCGCGCGGCCGGAGTCCCTGCCGCGGCCACCTTCACGGCTGTCGGGTCAGGGCTCGGGAAGAGGCCACGGCGCCGTTTGACTGCGGGCAGATCTGAACGTGGCGTCTGAGCCCATCTGTAGGGGGATGGGGTGTGTGCCCTGGCCTCACGGGGCTTGGGCCGCCCTGCGTGGCGGGAAGTGATGCCCTCAGGGTGCTCTCCGCGGGTCCGGTTCCTGACGCTGCCACTGCCCTGCTGCGCGACCTTGGGCAAGTCACCTCATCCCTCCTGCTTCCCTTTATTACCCACCTGTAAAATGGGGCTGGTTTGTCTCTCAAGCGGAGGAGGGTCTCAGACCTTGTTTGCATTGGAAAAATAACACTGCTTCAGCAACTAACTCTCAATTATCTGTTCGCCAAACTGGTGCCTACCACGGTTTGTCCCTAAATGTAGACCAAAAAACGCCATGGATAATACCAGTTCAGCGGGAGCCATGGGTCATCTTTGTGTGTACAATCAAATAAGCAGTATTGAAAGCCCTGGCTGGGATGATTTAGTTGGGGTTGGCCCTGCTTTGAGCAGGGGGTTGGACTAGATGACCTCCTGAGGTCCTTTCCAACCCTAGTCTTCTATGACAACTGACTACTGAGATAATGCTACTTCCAAGTGCAGACGAAGCCTTAGTTAAACAAAGTATGCACATTCACTAGCTTCCCGTCTTCAAACCCAATGCCATAATTTCTCAGCTTCAAGCATCCAAAGCTTTTTATTAACAGTGAAGAGCTCTGTTTTCAGGTAAAAATCAGTTAAAAGCAAAGGTTGAATTGACATCCATGAATGCTTACCTTTCCCTTGGTTGGGATCCAGTAAATTCAAAGTAAGATCAAAGGTCTAGGTTGAAAACCTGAGACATTAGTCCATCTCTTCCTTGTTCCCTCAGCTTTGGAAGACTAATCCATATGCTAATGTCACTTGAAGTGTCATTTTTGTTGTTAAACCTTACTCTTTTCCTTAATTTACACTGTATCGGTGGCATATTGTATTCAAATTTGCATATACAGTCAAACATGAATAAACCGGGTATGAAAAACTCACTCATCCTGGGCAAGCAGAAATATTTCCTGTAAGTGTTCTCAACTTCTGCAAAACTTGTGTGGGGAGGTTTTTCTAAGAATACTACTTGTGCTTATATAAAGAAAAACTTCCCAATTATGAGCTGAGCATAAATTGATGCACAGTGGATTGATTTACATCAAAGCTATTTAAATCTCTGATTTTAATCATGATTTAACTCAGCAGACAGGAAGCATTGATTTAAATAATCCATTTTAATTGTTTTGCACTTGTACTTTAGTTATTTTCCTAAAGAGAGAGAGAGTCTCACTGGTTGGTAACAATTAAAATGTTTGCTTTCCTGCTATATTTAGCCTTTAAGCTAAACTTGGTGCTTCTTGCTAACAAGGAGGATGCACTGTATCTGCATTTATTTAAGTAATTATATAGCTTACCTGTTTACTGGATGGTTTTTTATTATTATTATTTATTATTATTATTTTACTTGCAATTTGTGTCAAGCTGTATTTGGATGGAAATTCAATTAAGTGCACAAAACAGCATTTTAAACAATTAAATAAAACTACCTTAAATATTCTGGATATATAAGAAAAATATAGTTTTTTTTGCTTTTAAAACTGATTTTTCAAACAAAGGAGGTATCTCTAGTTAGTGAATTGAACTGATGCTATTTAATCATGTGTGCTTCAAGATTTTACAACTAGTAGATATTATCCTCTCACACCTAGCTTTTATTCATAGAATGGAAGAAGAAAACAAGCTTTCATGCTTAAACACCCTTTCATGCTTTTTCAATTCTCAATTGCTTTCTTAATTCTCAATGAACTGGTCATTGAACTGAACTAGTTGAATAAGCTGAAGTGAAGAAAATATTCTTTACTGCTATCAAAAGCTGGTTTAGCACTTCAACAAACCCTGGTTCCAGTGACTTCCACCAGTCCAGTAGTTTGACTCTATTTAGACCTTGGAAGCAAACGTACTGCTTAATATTTTTTTGCATTTCATTTGAGTTGTTAGTAGATTATAATAGCTTTAGGCCTTAACGTAGGCTGTTTAAAATTTAATTTTAAATACATTTAATTTAAAGAAAAATTGATTTTTTTAAAAAAATAATCTTTTATCCACTCTGCAGTGATCTCTTCCACCAGAAGAGATTTTCTATACTAGAAAGCCAGCTCTACACTAAAAAGAGCTTGCCAGTATAAAACAAGTTCTTTTGCTGATGTTTATGCTAGTTTCCTGTATGAAACAAACTACACGAGCAAAAGAACTCTTAGAATCTACACTAGGGCTTTTGCCAGCATAGCTCTGTTGGTTAAGGGTGTGACTCTTTTGCACACCTAACTGACATAACTTTTAAGTATAGACCAGACCTTATTCTGCAGACACCCACCACTCCCAGTGTTGCTTCCACTGTGGCAGGCATGGTGTGTCTGCAGCTTGTCCCCTATTGAGCTAGCAAGAGAGGCCCCACGCAGGGCCATGTAAGTGTGCCACCTTCCATGCAAGAACATTAACTGATTTGATGTGTGTTGTGTGTGGCAGCACTAATTCGTTTATTTGTATGTGGTGGAAGGGAGGAGAGGTTGGGGTGGCATTAATTGGGGTCTCTAAGTTCAGCCAAGTTAGTTGGGTTTTTAGGCCCAAGTCATGAGTAGTGCTTGACTACTAAGAAACCATTTAGAACAGGTGTTGCTTGGGAGAGTGTGTGGTGTGGAGCATTGTGCATTTAGTCCGGGGTAAGTGGTTGCTGGGTTAATTTTTAAAGCCCTGCAAATAAACTCTTTCTCCTGCATCCTCATAGGTAAGTCCAAAAAGTGGGGAAATGTCCACCTACTTGAAAATGAAAGATTCTGCTGTGGCCCTCTAAAACTGCTCCTCAACTGCACTGAGGAGGAACTGGAGGGGGTCTAGTAAGTGTAGGGAGATGGCATGGGGATGGCTGACTCCCAATGAAGGATAACCATCTGAATTTTAAGGTAAAATTTTAAAAAGGAAGTGCTGGAGGAAGAGAGATGAAAGTTCCAGATCGTTAGCGCAAAGGGTGGGGAGGACTATTATAGCTGGGGAAGTCACCAGGTGGCTAAGTATGGTGTAACATATCACCGATGTGGGAAGTCCATGGGAGTTCAGTTTGTTAGACTGCCATCCATTTAATTTTTAATTTCTGTGTAATACAACATTTCTTTTGTGATTGGGAAGGCTCCAGAATATAAGATCGAATAGACAACTGAAAAGTAATTTGTTAATGAAAGGGAGAAAGATCACAAGAGATTTTGGTGTAATAACCTATTCATTATGCAAATCTAAATGTTTTAATTACACTAAATGCTTAGCATCATAGTAGAAAAAACTCCTAACGGTAATGGATGATAATGAAATGGTCTTCTCAGTCATGATTAAGATAGTTTCATTATCTTTAGGAGTTTTTAACCTCTGAGAATTACTTTGGCATGTCTCATGGTTGCTCTCAGGCTAAAAGATTATTTTTTTAGCCAGTTTCCAAACTGTTTACTTAGTTCTAAAACTTTAGATTTGCAGTTATTTCTTCTTGAATGAATACTTATGCCTTTTTTATAAAGTAATTTGGTTTATAAATAGAGAAAATAATAAAGTTCTCCAATACATATTGTAATCTAGCATTTTACTAAGTGCACTACAAAAATTTCAAGCATCTTTTAGAACTAAACCCTGTGGTGAAATCCTGACCACGGTGAAGTCAGTCGCAAAATTCCCATTGATTTCAGTGGGGCAACGATTTTGCTCATTGCATTGGATCAGTGTTTTCATTACTCTGAATTTAAAATCTATCAAACTAAAATCTCAGCCTCACTGTTGCATTAATGTATATTTCTCCATTTATGTGGACAAATTAGAAAACTTGTTATGGCTTTCGCAGCAACCTTATCTTATCCACACTGCATGCGCACATGAAGGCATAACTTAACTCCATGTATAGTAATAAATATTTAGAGAGAGATGTGCAAGCAGGACACCTTACAGTTCCTGGGGGAACCATAACTTTGAATAGTATACATGAAAACCTTTTCAATAAATAGGATTTATGGTATCAAATCAGAGTACATGATCTAAAATAAAGGTTTAAATTATGGCTCAGTCCGTGGAGACTTGGGGGATGGGGATTAGCAGCAGAAGCAGTACCAGCTGAGTGCTGGAGGAGGAGGTTATTCCTGCTTAACAGTGTCCTCTCTTATCCAGCAGCACCTGCTGTACCTGTACAAAGTGAAGATAGTTCTAGCCATTTCCCCCAACCCACTGCCAAACCTTCATTTAAGGTGTGTGCCACTGCCTGCAGCAGCCATTAGGTCTGTCTTTGTTTGTCAGTTATTCCTCACCATGTGTCTGAGGAATTCCCATGCTGTTCAGGCAGCACATTGGGACAGGATTTGGGCCTTGAGGTGCTCTTCACTTTTATTTCAGGCTGACTACCACTTCAGGGAAACACTGCTTTAGTTGACTTTTTAACTTCACATTTGGAAGACCCTCTGCCATGATAAGGGCTAGAAACTTTTGAAAAAACCATGGAGAATGTGATGGGTAAATCCTCATTCACCATGGAAGGTTGCTTATTTGCAAATGGCAAGTGAATTTGTCAAGTCCTGAGCCAAAACTAGCTGACAAATTTGACAGTCACCTCCTATATATTTGTAGTTGGATGTCATTTTAGTGGGGTTTTTTTTGAGGTGGGGGCTGTAGCCAGGTTAGCTTTCTCTCTATAATGCCTTTTCATTTTAGCTGTGGTCATTTGTTTATTTGGAACATGATTAGTGGTACATTCTTTTCAACTGTTAAATAACAGGTACTCAACACTTAAATCTCCATTTTCAGGGACTCAAGCCACTGGCATCCACAGAATCGCCAGCTCTGATTTTTGGAACGCCAACTAAACTTGCCTCAGATTCGCCAGCAGCTGTTTCTTATTTGGATAAAAACAAGGTGCCGGACCTCCAGAAGCTATTTCAGGTAAGAAGAAAAGCTTTATTAAGAGAAAATTTAAATAAAAAGGGCTGAAGATAGTGGGCCATATTCTGCCCTTCATTGCACCTGTGCAATGCCATCAGTGGGCCCGCACCAGAGGGCGTGCACAGGTGTAACTCAAATTCTGCAACATTTGGTCCAAAAGGTATTAATGTTTGAATCTTTTAGAAAGGATTTGTAGTAATTTTCATAACATCCTATAGTTTGTTTGTTGCTTGATAATTCATGGTCTCGGTACCTTGAGACTGCACAGAATCCTTGTATTGGCAGGACATCTACTAGAAAGGAGAAAAACCTCAGATCTCCTTTCTTCACGCTGCTACAGGTGCTTATCACATTCGGGTCAGTTGTAAACATGTTTTCTTTCTGGGAATATATGACAAGCTTATGATCCAACAAAGCTGAATGCAAGAACAAACTGGAATCACAATCCCCAGTTTGTTTGGTGGTGTTGAGTAATTTTAGATGTTTATAAACTATGTAAACGTTTACTGGTGCTCAAAACCTATGGAATAACGGTATATGTAGTGTCCTCCAGAGCTTTTGTGTTATCTCTGTGGATTAACTACTTGTTAGTTAGGGACTGATGGGTGGAGTTCACATTTAAAGGAGTTCTCTCATTTAAAACTAAGAATAAACTTCATATAACATTCTGTTTTTATGAGAATGACAAGGGGTTGTGCTTTTTAAAATGTACTCGGCTGTCTTCCATGCCATTTTTATTTATTTATTTTATTTATGTGTAATGCTGAATTGGTGAACCACATTTGATTTATACAGATCTTCTCCCATTCTCTAGTTAGTGACACTTTTCAGTCAAGTGCCTTTTATGATAAAGGATTTTGAGAAAATATTCCAAGGCTTGTTTGTGCCTACAATTTGCAAGGTGCATGTAATAAAACAAATATCTGCACTTAAAATAAAACTAGTCTGCTCTTCCCTTTGTGCAGTTTCAGGAGGAAACCCTATGTTCTGTGGTTTTTGGGGAGGGTTTCTTTACCCTCCCCAACTCTCTCTCATAATTCTCCTTATTTTAGCTATAGTAGCTTTTTTGTGATGATCAGCCTTTTTTCACGTGCTGTGTTGTTCTTCTCCCAAAGAAGGCTGATGGATTGCCAGTACATCTGAAACGAGGAGTTCCTGATCAGCTGCTATATCGGACCACTATGGCCCTAACGATAGGAGGGACCATCTACTGTCTGATAGCTCTCTACATGGCCTCACAACCAAAATCTAAGAAGTGAGTGAACCATAACTAATGGGACTGATTCAGCATTTCTCTGAAGGACCAGTTGCATACTACCGCTTTGTATTTACTGCTTAATCCTGTGATTGTATGTTGTGAATTCTTCAAATAAAGACATTAAGAAAATGTTTCGAAAGTGGTTACCTTCTAATGCATTGGAAAGCAAGATGAATATCAAAGTTAATATTTAAGAGTGAAAGTCAATGTGTTTTGCTTGTGTCAGGTCTCCAGTCTTCTCTTTCCCACCCCAAACGTAAACCAGACAAACAGTTGACTTACAACAGCCTCTGAGCACTTTAGGGTGGTATAACTTGCCACCTGCCTTTCAACAATGTTTAAATTGGAAATGAAAACTTAATTGTGTCAAGCTATGCCATAACACCCACATTCTCTCAAGTGTAAGGAGAACAGGGGGAGGGGATTCCAGGGTTTACAGAAGCAATAAGTGTTTTGTGTAACTTACTGTTTGATGACAAGTCTATTTTTCTTGTCATACATGTTCACTAAGAATTCACATTAGCGGGTGCAGCACAGAGATTCTTCCAAATGCTGAGATAACATTAATGTTGGAAACATGGTTACTTAAATTTGTACTTTCAGTGAGTAATATGATAGGGTTATGGTGTCCAAATCTAATACAGGTTTCAGAGTGGTGTCCAAATCTAATACAGTCTATGAACACAGCGGCTGGTAGCAGTGTTGCACTTAGGCAGACTTCTAATTGTAACACCAACTGTACTAGTTTTTTGTCCTTTTCCTTTTGTCAAATTATATTTTTAAATTAAAGTACTGTTTGTTTTTACTGTGGAATAAATACACCACTGCAAACATTGAAACGTTTCAGATTTGAAAGTCTTGTTGTTTCATCTTTTCACAGCCTTCTAATGTTTCAAAACATCTGGTTTCCAACCTCAACTTGTACCTTTTTGAAGCAGACATCTGCTCGAACAGTCTCTAAACCTCAGAATTATGCTAATAGCCAGGTACTAGCCTTTCATAAGAAGTAATCACCAGTATCTGCTTTAGTGAAAGGTTGCTATATTTCATAACTTAGTTGTGTGTTAACTGCAATACTGTCTTATTTCTCATTTGTAAAAAGATGAGTCAGGTGCCCCCCCCCCAAAAAAAAAAACCCAAAAACAACCTATATTGCATGAAATGCTGGATGCTGGCACACTTTTTTTTTTTTTTTTTTTTTTTATTTGATGGTGATGAAATGCACCCTTTATCCTATAGGGACAGTCACTCCTGTGGACTGAAATAACAGCTGATGTCCCTTCACCTGTTTTGAATTCCCAACCATTAGACCTGCATACCCATGGATTCGTCTCCAATTCCTACACCTATTCAAAATCTCACAAAGCTCACCTTCCTTGTGCAGAAGAAATGTAAAGGCCCCTTTCCTTCCTCCCCTCATCCCATCACAGGATGTCAAATTTCCTTTTCTTTCCATTTCTCCAAATTTGTTTTTCATATACTAGTATTTAAAGAAAGTTCACTTGTTTTCCAATTAAATATTTTAAAGGCTCAGATGTAAAAAAATCATCTTAAGAGTCATGACTGAAGAAATGTAACAGTGTATAATTTTTTGTATGAGAAACTGAAGCCTGAGACTAGTGTTTATATTTTAGAAATGGCAGAGAGGCCTCTGAGAATAATGGGCTGAAGCACATAAGAAAATGGACGAAGCCCCTCAGGAAGGAGAGTTAAGAAAACAGGAGCATTGCCTTTACCAGCAGTTAACCACCAGTGAGCCATACTTTTCTTAAGTCCATGGGAAAAGGGTAAAACTTCCAGAGCCCAAGAGAATCTCTCTGCAGCACTGGTGATTTTCAGTCTCCCGCTGCTGAGTAGTAGCCATACGCTAATCATGATCTAGAAGAATCCTCTAACACAGGGCTGTCTGTATCTGTTTCCACAAGTCCTTAGATGTTTGTCACAGGTCATTTGTAATTTGAGGAGATTCCCTGAGAGTTCTAAGCTAATAGTGATAGTCTATTACTGGTTACTACGGCTGATGTGACCTATACCTAACAAATGTAACAGGAAAATGCAATGGCTGTTATGCCACTGCACTTCAGCTGGAGTGAAGACCCTTGCTCTAGAATACATTAGAGAATCAGAGGAAAAAGTCATTCAGCTAGGGGTTTCTTACAGGAGAAGCTGCTCCTTCTAAGGCATAGCAACCTGACCAAACTACGCCTCTCTCTGCAGGAGTTCTGGGAGAAAGTGTAGCTCTGTTGCCATAGAAACCAAGTCTTCTCACTGACCTGGGCCATGCTGCTTTTGACTTGTGCCCAAACATAGTGCCTCTGGAGGCAGAACCCAGGGAGCAGTTGAAAATGCCACTGCTGCAGCCAGAAAATGAAGCCTATGAAATTCCATAGACCAGCCACTGCTAAAACGTCAGTGGCCTTTCTATGTTTCTTTCCTCCCAAGACACATTACAAAAACCGTTGGGCTCTTGGTTACAGTGGGGTGGGTCTCCCTTTTTTATGGGAAAGGACAAGCTGGCTTAGGCCCTTTGCTCTAGGAGAGATTTCACAGTGAGAATCTTGAGCACAGAGGCACCTCCTGCGGTGCATCAAGCAGGCACCTAAAGCTCAGATCAATGGGAGTTAGATACCTAAATACCTTTGGGTATGTCTACACTACGAAATTAGGTTGATCTTATAGAAATGGATTTTTAGAAATCAATTTTATACAGTTACTTGCGTATGTCCACATTAAGTCAGCGGAGTGCATCCTCACTACTGTGGCTAGCATCGACTTTTGGAGTGTTGCACTGTGGGTAGTTATCCCACAGTTCCCGCAGTTTCCGCTGCCCATTGGAATTCTGGGTTGAGCTCCCAACGCCTGATGGGCAAAAACATTGTCGTGGGTGGTTTTGGGTACATGTCATCAGTCACCCCTCCCTCCGCGAAAGCAACAGCAGACAATCGTTTTGCGCCTTTTTTCTGTGCAGGCGCCATACTGCTGCCAGCAGATGGTGCAGTAGGACTGCTAACCGTCATCATCATCCACTGCTTCAGCTGCAACTCTGCTCTCCTGGTGCCATGAATCCACCTTGCAGGTCCTCTCGTCGTTCTGTATAAATATCTATTCTCGTGCCATCTGTTGTCATCTACTGCTTCCGCTGCAACTCTGCTCTCCTACAGACGCCATACCATAGCAGCATGGAGCCCGCTCAGCTCACCGCTGCTGTTGTGAGCATTGCGAACACGTCGCGCATTATCCTGCAGTATGTGCAGAACCTGCAAAAGCAGGCAAGGAGGCGATGACAGCGCGATCACGATAGTGATGAGGACATGAACACAGACTTTTCTCTCAAAGCACTGGCCCTGGCAATTTGGACATCATGGTGGTGGGGGGGCAGGTTCGTGCCGTGGAATACCAATTCGGGGCCCAGGAAACAAGCACAGACTGGTGGGACCGCATAGTGTTGCAGGTCTGGAATGATTCCCAGTGGCTGCGAAACTTTCGCATGCATAAGGGCACTTTCATGGAACTTTGTGACTTGCTTTCCCCTGCCCGGAAGCGCAAGAATGCCAAGATGAGAGCAGCCCTCACAGTTCACAAGCAAGTGGCGATAGTCCTCTGGAAGCTTGCAACGCCAGACAGCTACCGGTCAGTCGGGAATCAATTTGGAGTGGGTAAATCTACTGTGGGGGGCTGCTGTGATCCAAGTAGCCAACGCAGTCACTGAGCTGCTGCTATCAAGGATAGTGACTCTGGGAAATGTGCAGGTCATAGTGGATGGCTTTGCTGCAATAGGGTTCCCTAACTGTGGTGGGGCGATAGACAGAACACCTATCCCTATCTTGGGACCGGACCACCTTGGCAGCCAGTACATAAACCGCATGGGCTACTTTTCTGCCTACTTCAGGCCAAGCCTGGGTGGTGCTTAAGATAGTACTCACTATCTGTCAATGCCCTTTTGAGAGGAACAGTCAGCATAAGGCACATTGTTCTATGTGCATTTCTTATTGCTAAGAAAAGATGATTTCATACTTAGTAATCTTGCTACCTTGGTAACCAGTAAAAAGGGAGAGACGGCCTGTCATACTCACTCATCAGGTCATTGATAAACTCCTATATTCCTGTAAGTAAAATGTTTTTCCCCCCCAGGAAAGTTATTATCCTTAATTGTAAATTTAGCATCTGGTTAGAAATTTCTAAGGGATCTCCTAAATTAATAGGATTTGAAATGTCATCCCCTAAAACAAAGTTGGAGCTGAATTCTGTGTGAGTATTATTAATTATATAGCATCATAAATGCACATGGTACTTTATAAACATGTAGGAAGATGAAGTCCATTGCCTCAGGAACTTACAATCTAATTCCAAGACAGGCTACAAACTATTAATTTATTATTTGTAATATTCATTATTTATATTATAGCACGCAGAGGTCCCTGTTCGGTCCTGTTGGACAAGGCTCTGTACAAACAGGGACACATAGAGTCCATGCTTTTGAAAGGCTACTCTTACATACATTAGTAACTTATCCTCACAGTACCTTATGAGGTAGGTCAGAATTATTTTCTCCAGTTTACAGATGGGAAACCCAACACCAACACTCATGAGGACACATGAAAACAAGACACATTTTAATTGGAATGCAAACTCTGGCTTTTAACATTTTGGCATGAATACACACCAGAGAATTAAGTTTTAATGAAATAATCACACCCTGGAGTGTTGGGGGAAAAGGGAGGAGCAGCTAAATTCTACAGTGCTCAGAAGTGTGATTATCTCAGGATAATCACCCACCTCTTTGGCATTTTCTTATTGTTCTTATAAGTCTTTAAGATAAAACATGTTAAATCATGATCATTTACCTTCATAGAGCTGTCACAGCCTGAATTCAGTAGTTCTATCCATGTAACTAAATTCAGCAGTTCTATCCATGTAATTAAATTGCTTTTGCATGTCCACATTATGCTCCTTTTGTTGGTGGTGCGTGACCTCACCAGGAGCGCTTGCACTGATTTAAATATCAGTTTGGGACATTGTGGGACGGCTTTTGAGAAGCAGCAACAGTCGATGTAAGCAATGCGGTGTCTACACTGACACTGTGTCGACCTAGCTACATCGACGTAAGCTCTGTGCCTCTCACTGTCGTGGTTATTAAGGCCATGTCTACACTAGCGAGCTTACAGCAGCGCAGCTATACCGATACAGCTGCACTGCTGTAAGACTGCTTGTTTAGTCGCTCTATTCTGACGAGAGAGCGCTATCCTGTCAACATAATTAAAGCACCTCCACGAGCGGCAGTAGCTATGTTGGCAGGAGACACTCTCCCGCCGACATTGCACTGTGCACGCTACCACTTATGCCGGCAAAACTTATGTTGCTCAGGGTGTGTGTGTGTTATTTTCACGCCACTGAGCAACATATGTTGGTAAAACTTAAGTGGTAGTGTAGACATGGTGTTAGTGTAGCCACCTACAGAGTTAGGTCAATGTAGGCAGCCTTACATCGACCTAACTCTGTAGTATAGACCAGGCCTAATTTAAACAAGAGGCTTTCTCTCTTCTATAGGGGTATTGCATAAATACAGTTGCAGAGGTCAATAATTGGTAGTATGCAAGCACATCTTTCAGCTGCTTTAGAAGGATGCTAACAAAGGACTTGATTTTACAGTGCAATCAAATATTGCATTTAAATCCTGCTTTTAAATATGCTATTTCTCTAACAACAACGATGTTTCAAAGTAAGAGCCCATATGACACTGATCATTACTATGTTAAAATATGAATTACTTGATCCTTCCGTAAATGAGGTTCAGAGGAAAGACATTTTGATTTTGAAATGATGAAAACTTTGGAAGAAATGCA